TACAAGATTATATTCAGGAGCAGAGCTTTGATTTTTTTCTCTTCTCTTTAATATAAAAAAATTATTTCTAAAAAGATATTAATTTTTTTACTACTAATATTTATTTATTTGGTTGTTACTTGACGATTTGAGCCCATCGTTGCCGAATCGTACTGTGGGAGTATAACACAACTTGCATGTCAATGGTTGAAGAAGCCATATATTCCGAGATTGTGATGGTTGGGAGTCACAAGAATTGTGAACAGGGATGGATTGCTTGTCCAGGAATAGGCCAATCTTGCACGAGAATTACTGAGGGGATGAACTATATAAAAGACCATTGGGGGTTGTTGATTGATGGAGAGAGCGGTGGGGACGAGGATAATTAACTTGAACAGTGGTTGGATGATGGAGAGAGCAATGATGATAAAGAGAAGAAGATTGTTGAAATACTTTGACGGGTAATTGATGCATTTGTGTAATGTTTTGTAATCGTGTGCATGTATTAACTATTTCAATTGAATGTCGTAGAAGTTTGTTATAGTGTTATCCCGTATTAGATATCGCTGATAATATTCTCTTGTCCATTTCTTAACTTGCGTGCACTTATTATTTTTTTATTATATTTTTTATTTGTTTCATTTTTTTTTTAGAAAACCTTTGACTTATTGATCAATCTATCGATTTGATTTCATGAAGTTCAGCTCTTTACCAATTACCGTGTGAGTTATGAAGAGATGAACTGTAGTGATATCTTTTATGTTTTTGGGATCTTGAAAATTAAATATAGATACTGCTTCGTGAAGATCATACACTATTTGCTTTCCAAAATGAACAATTAATTGTTTCATACTATCTTTTCTCTTCACTTTGATTTTTTTTTTTAATGAATTGTTTGGGGTTTAAAATATTGTTTTCCTCTCTAAACAACTTTCCCTATCTCTTTTATGGTTCCAATCAAACGATAGTGTTTTAGTTGAGACTTTGGACTTGCAACAACACGAAACCAATTAGCGATTCAATTACTAAACAATGAAAGAATTTTACCGCTTCGGTGATTAAACGATTATGGCGGTGGTGGTTCCGGTTAGGCGTAGTTCTTTTTGGTAGATTTCAGAATTAAGCAAATCGAGAGATAATTACCAGATGCAGAGACAATAGAGGGGAAATGCCATGGGAGTGATTGGATTTTAAAGTGAGGTTTGATGAGGAATCATCTTTCTAATGGAAATACATAGATTAATTTATTGTAATGAATTTAAGAGATTTCACACGTACTGAGAAGCAATATTTTTTTAAGAAGAAAAAGTCTCCAAAATTATGATATTCGTTTGAGGGTTTTAATGGGGAGCATCAATCCTATATTAGTTTTATTGAGGAGCATCAATTTTTATTATCCACAACGGTGATAAATAATTAGTAAATAATCACTTTATTATACTATTTAGCATTATATTGAGTGTGATAATACTATACGGTGTACTTTCGGGACATTGGATAAAATTGGAAGATGTTAATCTAAGAGGAGTTGTTTCAAAAAGCTAGATGTGTACATTTGTCTCACTGTTGACAATAGCAAATTATTTTATTATTGGCTCATCATTAAATCATAAAAATTATTTTTTCAAGTTGTTAATGTAAATTTATCTTTGATCAAGTTAAATTTTTTATTTCCATATAAGATAAGAAAAATTATTCCCGCACAATTGATTTTACTTATCACGTGTTTCCATTAATAAAAGGACTAGATACTTGGCCCGGGCGATGCCCGGCCGGCTTCCGTTTACTTTACAATAATAAAAATAATAATAGTGTTAATATTAATAAATTATTTGTTTGATTTATATAAAAAAAATTTAAAAACATAATTTTTTTAACCCAATATTTTAAAGAATTATTGAAAGCTACTTATGGGCCTGCCGGAAATTGGGTTTAATTGGATATCTACATTCTTTAGAGCAATTAAATTACAAAGGTCCAAAAAAATTGTTTTCTAAGTTGTGTCTGAAAGTACTTTTATGAATTAGGTCATTTACACATACAGATTATACTTTCCCTTTTCTTTCGAAATTAGTATAATCCCCCCATTTCGTTTTGAACGCCGGCAATCGGAAATGTCCCATTATTCCAGCTCACTTTCATCATATTCCCCTTTTTCATCCCATTTTGCAGTAAATTATTACTTTGCACTGTTTTTATATATTTAGGTTGAAGAATTTTACAATCGGTCAATATCCGATGGAATTATCGGCAAATCGTTAATTCCTAAATCATTTCAGATCTGCTATATGTTAAACATGCGGGCGGTTTTCGGAATGATTTTCTACACTGTATCGAAGAAGGTTGTTGGGATCGATTACGGAATGTTAATGGGGCAAATAAAACAATCTTTTCTGAATAAGTACGTCTGAGGTGATTCTTCATTTTCTGTAAGAACCCAGATCAATAAAAGGAACAGAAGAAGCTCAGACATGATTATGGAAAAAGAAAGGATTCATTTTCTGGTCTTCGTTGTTGGGATAATTGCTCTTAGCATCAATGATAATTTCCTTTTCCTTTTTGGCTTCTTATTATCGAAACCCGTTTGGGGTAAAAGTAGTGATTAGCACCTCATTTTTTGAATTAAATCCGTTGTTTGATTTAATCAAGCATTGCTTACAGTGGGAGTATTTTTGTTTGTTTATGCATATGGGTAGTTATTTTATGGATGTCATAACTTCCAGCTGGTTTTTAATATTCATGTGCTTTGGTTCTCATCTCTAGATTAACATGATATATTCTGTAGTTATCGTATATATATTTCAAGCTTGAACTAATCAGAGGTAAATCTTATCATGCTGACTATATTAGATTGAGTAATGAATGTGATAGATTTTTTCCTAATGATGCTGTAAAAAGACTGGAAAAAAAACACCTCCCAAAATGTAACTATTAACAATGTAGTATGTTATACTAAAAAACCTTTGTAAAAAATTCAACTATTAATATTATAATCTGCTATACAGATTTGAAAATCTGAAGAAAATAAGCTGGAAATGTGTTTTACTGAAGTAGAATAACTAAAATATAAAAAGGACTTTAATTAACATTCCGTAGGGCTTCTTTGTAAACCACGTTCATGGTCTGATTGGACCGTGTACCATCACTATCACAAATTAACACCTTCAATCTCCTTTTAGAAGTAACCTTTGAAAATGCAACATATAATTGTCCATGCCTAAAAACTGGACGTGGTAGAAACAAACCAACCATAGCAAGAGACTGTCCCTGACTCTTGTTGATTGTCATTGCAAAGCATGCAGCTATAGGAAACTGTCTCTTCTTCATTTTGAAAGGCAAACTGTTATCAGTTGGTATTATTTTCATCCTAGGCAAACTGTTATCAGTTGGTAATATCTAATGTAAAAGATGTTACCATAATGTAGTGATAATTGAAATTCTTAATAGTTGTGGAATCTGACACATAATAAAATTTTTGTAAAAATGTAATAAAATTATTCCTTCAGTTGAATAATTAAAATGTGTATTGTTAAATCAACTAACATTATGCAGAGCCTCTTTGTACACAACATTCACAGTGCGATTGGTCCTTGTGCCGTCAAGGTTGGTAATTAACACCTTCAATCCTTTTTTAGATGTTACCCTTGAAAGTGCCACATATAGCTGTCCGTGGCTGAAAACTGGTCGTGGTAGGTACAAACCAAACCATAGATAGAGATTGACCTTGACTCTTGTTGATGGTCATTGCAAAGCATATAACTATAGGAAACTGTCTCCTCTGCATTTTGAAAGGAATGCTGCTATCACTTGAGATAATTTTCATTCGAGGAATAGGCACAACATCACCTATGTTACTTCCAGATATAACTTTTCCCTCAATTACGTAACGTCCCATTTGCGTAATCTGTAGCCTTGTACCGTTGCAAAGTCCAGACCACTGATCAATGTTTCGGAGTAATATTATTGGGACATTAAATTTTAGTACCAACCTTTCGAGGTAATTTTTAGTATCAAATTTTATACGCAATGGTTTCAGTTCAATTTTACAATTCATCTACTATGTGTTGTAACCAAATTATATATATATATATATATATATATAACAATTCTGTAATATAAAGTTTGAACAACTTACTTTAGTGCTAATCAATCGCTTCCAACTCTGTTGATATATAAAATGTTGATTTATTGTAAAATACTTGCGATGTAATAAGCTGAATTATAATGGATATCCTGAAAAGTGAATAAAATTGTTAAATATGGTTAAAAAAAATATTAAATAAAATTCTATACTCTATTTGAAAATCAAAAAAGTTCATCTACATGTCAATATATATCTTAAAAAATATATTGATGAGTTTAAATTATGAACAAGAAACGGCCATAGTCATTTATGAATCGAAAGCAAGAGTTTAAAATCCTACTAATCAGGGATTCTGTTAATCTGGTCAATATTGAATAATAAATATATAATTTTTTCATTTATGTTAAGATTTGTTTACTGATACTTATAACTAGAGGTCATTATGTTAACAATCCCAATTTTAATGGGACTTGACGTCACACCCTTAAAAACTACCTGCATAAATTCATTTAAACAGTGTAATTGTTAATTTAAGTCCCTATTTAAGGGGGAGTAAAATAAAACGTCCCTGCCAAACCCTACACTAGGCTGATACAGGTCTGATCGTGTGAACACATCCCATATAAAATCCCTTCACCATATGAGCAGTTGCACACAAAAAAATAATAATCATCTTCAACAGCAAATTGTTCTCCACCTAGAAATAATCCTTTTCAAACTCAATACGTGATCTTCCTACATTTACTTCTAAAAAAGTTATCATGGATCATGGTTATGATCAGTTGATTACTTTTCCAAAAGATTTTGGAAGGAATGGTTTGGTGAATTAAACATATGTGCAGATGGTTATGATCATGTCACTTTAAGAAGTTATAATTACTCATATGTATGTAATCAACTCTATGTGCAGATACTTAGCAGTAACCTAAAATCAGTTATGAGGCATGTTGGAGTGCAGATCCAGATTGAAGGAGGTGCAAATCGCAGAGTTTTTGCAAATATTCATATCAACAAGAAAGGAAGATGTCAATTGTACGGCAATCCTTTAGAAGAATTTTTCAGAGATATTGGCCTTGGACCTTCAACTATTATGCATATTGTTTATCAAAAAGATGCTAATGTATTGCGTATCTTCCATTTTTACAATGATGTATGCCAGCGTCTTAGCCACGATGACACTGCCAACATTGGAAATTGTTATCTACTCAGCCTAGATCTTAACACTGCATCACGCTGTGTAAGTTGTATATTATTTGATGTTCATTAGTGTTTCCTTCGACTTTTTAACTTCCTTTTCTCTAATGAAACAAAATCTCTATAGGACATTAGAAGACGTTATTTTGGTACAATAGGTTGGCCTTCACTTGAGAAAACAGCAAGAGTTATTGAGGACAATGGTAATCCTGGCTTTTTCCTATATCTATGGAAGATAATGAACTTTCAGGTTTTCAAGGGAAACAATGGGAAGATTTTTATGACTGGTACTATAATAGGAAAAGGTGTGTACATGTTATACTGATATACACTGGTCATTTATATTTTAAAATGAGAGCTTTCAACAAAGAAGGTTATTGTACCCACCGGGACATTGTTGATTCAGACAACTCTGAAGGTTTGTTTTTTTTATACAGAAAACACATACATTCGATATGATTATATGTAACATTAAATAAAAACAGTAAACACATTTTTTTGTATCAGGTGAGATTGAGATAGTTGATTACATTCGTTGCAATACTGATAAGAACATTTTCTTTGTCATCATGACTAATGAGTTAATTGATCGTGGTCGACTGGTAAGTATATATTAACGGTTGTTTCATCATTTTAGTTTATACTTTTGATGCAAATTTATTATCCCTATGTGTTTTTTCATAACTGAAGGAAATACCGTGGTACATAGTCAGAAGATTGGCGATAGAAGAATACGAAAATCTCATTTTATATTATGATCATTGTCCAATCATCAGCATGCGACGATATCATATGCCAGAATCCCACAATCGTTTTGTTGTGGAAGGAGACATCAGAGCAATCATGGATATGAAGAAAATTCTTGTTGGCATCAAATTGGGTTTCCGTATAAATGCAAAAAAAGTTGCAAACAAGGAAGCATTGATACTGGAAGTTCTCTAATGTCCTTTTTAATTCTGGATGTAGAAAATGGTTTATTTTATTGTTCAAAATGTTATTTGAATGTATGATTTTCCTTAGTCTATATGTGTAACATGATACTTATAACTTTTTATTTACTTTTTATTTTTTCAAATAACTTAAAGTTTGTCCTTTAATTTCAGAATCTTATTAAATAATGCATATGAATGGTATTACTCTCACAATTTTTAACATGCTTATTCTATTGATAAATTAACAGTTATATTTTATATCAGGATTGGATATAAATCAATAATAATAAATATATAAATAATAACACATTAAAACAAAAATACTACATACCATTTGAAGGCTAACTAGATCATTTCAAAATTTTAGGTAATTATCTAATACCCCATGAGATCAGATTCTTTACTAATAGATAACTTAGAATATATACATACATATATATATATATATATTGAAAGCCTACCCTTTCAAGATCTCTGAAATTCTATGTCATTTGTGTTATTTAACCCTAAGAAATTCAATGAAATTTATGATTGAACGTAAAAGGGGATAAGAGACCTTTATATATAACGTCTCATATAGGGTATATGTGTATGCCATATCTATATATACATACACAATAAAAATTTAATGGATCAGATTTCACCAAAAGAAGCAAGAAGGTTGAGGAAGATAAAACTGGATACAAAAAGAGTTAAAATTCGTATCAAACGGGGTGACTTGGGGGATGTCACAGTATTAACACCCATGAAGAATCCAGTCATCAGTGCTAAAAATGCCAGGATGAAAAGGAAGCATATTTTACAGCACAAGAGGATGAAAGGATTGCAGAATACTGAGAAGAGTCAATTAATCCAAACTGGATCAAGTACAGTGTCTGCGTTCCCAATTGGTAGCCACCTTATTTTCTATATAAGTGTCTTATTAGTTTTTATGCTCTCGAGTTATTTATAAAAACATGTGAAACGGACTAATATGTTTTATATTAGTAGTACGATTGCAACTGTAAAAGGTGTGTTGTGTGCTATATATTCATAAACTGTGCTTTGGCTATAACATCTCAATCCATTATTTTTTATCTATTGAGTAGGAATCGTTTGCAGGCATAAAGAGATGCAACCCCCGTTAAGGGTTGTTAACAATGCCAGATTTAAAAGGAAGCAAATACTAGACATGAAAAGAGGAAAAATCTTTTCCAGATTTCAAATGCAGGGAACCCAGTCAGTTACTTCTGGTGGTGTTGTTATAAATAATTTAGGACAGATTAATACAAATGTGTTGATACAGGAGGGAGCCTTAAGTCTAGCATTAACAGCAATTCAATGGCTATTAATATGTCGCAAGCAAATGTATAGAGTATGAAAAGTCCTGGTACTTCATTTTCTATCCATTTTATGTTTTTAATTATCTGCATGACATCACATAACGATCTTTTTTATATAGTTGTATTCATTATATAATTATAGACACTTATCCAATGAAGAAAAGAAAGAAGTCATCCGCACATCTTCAAAACATATCAGGTACACCAATATAAAATATACGTCTTTTTGTGGCTATATAAATACATATATATTTTGTTTTAATTACTAGATGATTAATTGTACTTTAATAAGAAAAAGTCATTTGGGGAGACTTATTACAAGATGTATTGGAACGGGATGATTTGGAAAGGTGCAATTAAAAATATTAATTTTTAATACAAATATAAAATATATGATTTTATGGCTATATGAAATGCGTGTATGATTTGTTTTAATTACTAAATTTTCTCAATAATATTTCAAAAAAGGGGTCAGTTGGAAAATGTTTAATACAAGGCAAAAAATTTTCTATATTATAATCCTACACCTGTTCCTACATCCTTTACCAAGATTTTAGCACCGGGTCCCGGCGGATTTATCCAAAGGAGGGTTAGGGTGTTAGTAACAATTTTTTTAAACGGAAAGAAATGATTAAATAAAATAATATAAAAATATTATATGGTTAATAGTACTTTAATAAACGGGATCAATTGAGAATGGTTTAGCACAAGATGACTTGGAACGAGATCAATTGGAAATGTTCAATTCAAAATAAATTACTTTTAACACATATATCAAATATATGATTTTTATAACTATATAATACATGTTTATTTCGATTACTAGATATGATCAATAGTACTTCTATAAACGGGGTCACTTGGGAATAGTTTATTATAGGATGAATTAAACGGGGTACTTGGATAGAATTTATTACAAGATGAATTAGAAAGGGATCATTTGGAATGATCCAACTAAGAAATTTTTTTTTTTAATACTAATATAAAATGTATGATTTTTTATAGTTATATAAAATGAATGTATTATTTGGTTTAATGACAAGGTCTGATCAATAGTACTTCGATAAACGGGATCATTTGGGAAGAGTTTGTTACAAGATGAATTGGAACGGGATCATTTGGAAATATTTAATTAAAAATAAATAAATTTTTCACTCAATTTTAAAATTTATGATTTTTTATGACCATGAAAAATGCATGTATGATTTGTATTATTTATTATATATTCTCAAGAGTACTTTAAAATATAAGCAAGATCACTTGGGAAGGACTTATTAAAAGATGAATTGGAATGAGATCATTTGGAAAGTTATAACTAAAAATAATTAATTTTTAACATAAATATGAAATGTAGGATTTTTTATGGCTATGTAGAATACATGTATATTTTGTTTCAATTACTAGATAAATTAATATAACTAAAAAATTATACAAAATAAGATCTACACCCCACATGCAACGCACGGGCCAGTACGAGTTGTTATAAAAAATAAAAATGATCATGCTGTATTCAACAAGAAATCCTTATTCCAAATTGACTAGCTAGCACACTAGCACCAGCAGGCTAGCAGGATGGGTTGAATTTGATCACCGCCACCAGATTGACCAGCTTGTTTAAGGCCCCCACGCCCCTGGATATACCAATATACTCCGATGGCCAGGTCAAACATTTGGTGCGAAACGAAAACGAACAATCCAATTAAACTTAATAAGAGAGGGATGGTGGATCAGATCATCATGATTCATGAAATGATGAAATCATGGCGGGTTCATATCATTATCATTCCACCATTGATCCATCCAGGACCATATGATTCAGTGCATACAATTTGGACCTCAACTTGCTTCATATTCTTCATTATTCTATTGTCCCTTTCATTTTCATCCTCTTTGATGCCTAAATAGTAAAATCTAAACTATAACACATCAAACATTTAAATCAATTTTTTATTTGATTATCTTTAAATCACTTTATGCGTAAAAATCAATTCTCCAAATAATGATTTATTCATATACAGAATTGAACTCTACACCGGGGTATGTTTTATCAGGCTCTCATTTTCTGAAGGTGTGACTCGTGTTTGTCTTGTTTTGGTCATTTTGGGGGCTTTTTGCTTTTGGGGGTGTTTGGCCAATGGCTATTGTCTCAATGGATGGCTGAGAACAAAAGCCACAACGCACTTTTTGGTTGGGAATTGGGAGTTGGGCTCCTTTCACTTCCATAATTATACTATATATGGTACTGATTTGATTTGATGGTATTAAACGGTAAAATCCCTATCAAACTCCATACCCAAAAAAAATATGGAGCATGCAAAATTGCAAATAATCCTGTTTAGATTTTAGGCAATCGGATAAACCCTCCAAAAAAAAAAAAAAAACAAATTACATACTATAAGGGCATGGGATAAAGTCCACGTTCCAGTCAGGATTAGGATCTGACTTAAGAACCCCAAAAAAGTTTGCTTATTTATTTTGACTCAAATAAATTTGTCAAATTTTCAAGATTTACCCTTTTTAATTATATTATTATACATTTTTTAAGTAGGGAAAAAAAAAAAAAAAGAAATGTCTCAACTGGTTGGTGGAAAATAGTACACCACAGCATCACATCAGCATATAGCCCGTAGGTTGGCTGAAGCAATAAAAACTTACCCCTTTTCCTAGACGTTTCTTCATTCTTCTTCCTTTTGAACAGAGGAGGAGAACAAGTATTATAAGATTTGGCTCTTACCTCTGACCTTTCCTCCATCTACCTAGTCGAAATTTTTTTTTTCCTTTGGGGTTTGGTTCCTTGAATTCTACTCAGTTTTTGGTCCTTTAGATTGAGCTGTTTGTAAATTTTTGAAGATTTTTGGATTGGGAATGGCTTCCCTTCATGTTTCTTGCCCTTCAACCACTCTTCATCGCTCAAAGTAAGCTTCTGTTATCTGTGTATCTGTGGTCCTTTTCAATTATTCCATCTTCTGTTCTCTTGCATTATAAAATTATAAACTTGATGAAAACTTCTTAGAGATTGACGGAAATTTGGTGTTTAGTTTTCTGGGTTTATCCTTGTTGCCTTTCGTTCAATGTCTTTTTCTTAATGGATCTCAATTGGTAAAGAGAAGGTCCATTTTATGTGTTCAACACCTTGGCTTGGACTACTTCACGTTTTTTCCTGTTTGATTGTTCTTAATGTGAGGATGGTGTTTTTTCTTTTCCATTAATGAACGATCATGGAGCAAATATGGTCGAAAGAGAGAATTTGATATGCTAATTTTGTTGTTTCAGCTAATTTTTCCCGTCGAATTTCTTGTAGACTCGCAGTGTACAACAGATGGGGTTTCTTGGTTGTTGGAGTGTAGATTCATGTCAAACGTCCTCAAGCAGCTTTCGATTTTCTTTCTTCATTTTAACATGTTGTAAAGTTTCGATCTTGATGACAGTTTATGCTTTTTATTTGTGGTCTATATAGCTGCCAATAGTTAATCTCAAGATAGGAGCCTTTAAACCTGTTCAATTTTGAGTTGAGTGCTTGTTCTCTTAATCATGGCCGAGTTTAAGTTTAAGCACCGGGTGTTCCCTTCCTACTATTTATCTGGACAAGCTAGAAACGTGTCAATTCTGTGATACATTGGAAATTTGGGTCTGTGATGATGACTGTAACCATGAAGTTGGTATGGGCAACTTGATAGTATCTAAAAATAATGTTTATGTCAAAGAAGTGATTGTTTCAAATTCTGGTTTGTATTTATGAAAAGGATCATCTTGTGCCATATTTTGATCTCGTGTTTTCTTCTAGTGCACTAAAGAGTTTCAAGTTGGTGAATGGACTACATTTTGGAACTATTTATCCTGCAAGTGGTTTTCCTTCTGAGGCTCGACTGAGTGGCAGATCTTGCTTTCAAATTCGGAGGGATGGTAGAATTAAGTCTGTACTGTTATCTGATGAAGGAGACCTCCTTTCTCAAACTAACGGTATCAGTGGCATATCTTCTGGAATTGAGATACAGCCTGATTCTATATACTTGGGAACTCTTGCAGCAGATATGCCCCCTGCAAATGCTGGATTCCCATTAGAAAATGGTGAATCTGATTTGGACATGCCTACTGATGGCTTCTCCTCCATTCCAGCAGCAATCGAGGACATCCGCAAAGGAAAGGTATAAATCTCTTAACATACGTGATATTATTGATCATCTTGGAAGGTTTTATTTATTCACTGATTTCTTGTTTCTTTTATTTATCTGTTGTAGTTTGTATTGGTGGTTGATGATGAAGATAGAGAAAATGAAGGAGATTTAATAATGGCAGCCTCAAAGGTTACACCAGAGGCTATGGCATTTATTGTAAAGCATGGAACTGGCATTGTTTGTGTGAGTATGAAGGAAGAGGACCTGGAAAGATTGAATATTCCTTTGATGGTAAACAGCAAAGATAATGAGGAGAAACTCAGCACTGCCTTCACAGTTTCAGTAGTAAGTGTTTTCTTTTTTTGTTTTTTTTTCAAGGTGGATTGCGATGGGAAAATCTAGATGAGATTAAGATTCATGTCCATCTCATTTCAAGGTTCCAAAATAATCAAAACTTTTGTGAATTGGTTGTGGACAAGAATAAAGCAATATTAATTCTCTAGATTGTTGATTGAGTCAATTTTGTGAGATTGAGACTTTAGGGTTGAATTTTGTAGGATGCCAAACATGGTACAACTACAGGGGTCTCAGCTCGTGACCGGGCAACTACTATACTGGCTCTTGCATCCAAAGATTCGAAGCCTGAGGATTTCAACCGCCCTGGCCATATATTCCCATTGAAATATCGGGAAGGTGGTGTTTTAAAAAGAGCTGGACATACAGAAGCATCTGTAGACCTTGCCATGCTTGCAGGTTTGGAACCTGTTGGAGTTTTATGTGAGGTTGTTGATGATGATGGGTCAATGGCAAGACTGCCTAAGCTTCGGCAATTTGCTAAGGAGGAGAACATTAAAATTGTATCAATAGCTGATTTAATCAGGTAAGTTTCAGCTGTTGGAGCTACACCTAGTCACATAGAGTTGTTTTATTCTTGATTATGTGATCAAACCTAAACTGTTGAACATTTAGCTCCCGGTTGACTCTATCAGCATATCTTTTATAATTTTGACCAGTGGTCGACATAGTGAAATGGCTTTCCACTTGTGAAAATGTCATCCAGTTATCCCTTTGCTTGGAGTTCTTTTTACAGTATTTTCCTGTATGTCACTTTCATATATCGAATAGCTGCTACTTACATGAATTTGTAGTCAATTTTCAAACTTCTGTTATATACAAATCTCAAAACTTAATGTGGATTATTTTTTTGGGACAGAGGGAGAATTTATTTTTTGTTAAAAAGCTACCGAATTTTCTGCATAGCAGTAAAACAGTGGTGTTAGAATCATGTCATTTGCATGTTCATCTCTCCTGGTTCAAACTTCATTGTTTTTTGCTTCGCTATATAGATTATCTGTTAAAAGCATAGATTATCTGTAAAAAGCATACATCAATAATAAGTCATGTGAAATTATGAACATTGCAGATACAGGAGGAAAAGAGATAAATTGGTGGAGCATTCGTCTGCCGCAAAAATACCCACCATGTGGGGTCCCTTTATTGCTCATTGTTATAGATCTCTCTTGGATGGAATTGAACATATTGCAATGGTCAAGGTATTAGTCTGTAGCTGGGCATGTGACCCTTTTTTTTTAAAAAAATTAACCTTAATCTTCACTTTCTTTCAAGTAGAACATTGTAAACTAGCTTCTTTGATTAATCCACTTTGTGGTAATCTGAGAACAAGACTCGAGGGCGTCGATCTGGTACATTTGGAAAGATTGCACAGACATTGACCTTGATAATTTTAACAAACTTTTTTATCTCTACAGGGTGATATTGGTGATGGAAAGGATGTTCTTGTACGGGTACATTCTGAATGCCTCACGGGGGACATATTTGGTTCCGCCAGATGTGACTGCGGTAACCAGTTGGCACTTGCAATGGAACAAATAGAGGAAGTTGGCAGGGGAGTCCTGGTATACCTTCGTGGTCATGAGGGAAGAGGAATTGGTTTAGGTCATAAGCTTCGTGCTTATAATCTACAAGATGCGGGGCGTGACACTGTGGAAGCAAATGAAGAACTTGGTTTGCCAATTGATTCAAGAGAATACGGAATCGGTGCTCAGGTAACCTCCTCGGACATTTTGGCTGAATCTCATGTTAAAATTTGTCCTTGTTGATATTGATAACCTGAAAATGTTATTAGTGAACATATAAAAAGATAAACTGCAAATCCTATTTGTCTGTTATATTCGGATTGTTTTTGGGATGGTTTCTGGTGAATATTATATTTTTTTCTCATTGGTGGATACACTTTCAGTGATTATGTTAAAAAAGTTTCATCATTTTGTTTGTTTAAGGTGTGATTTATTTACTTCTCGCCTGCCACGAAGACACTGGTGAACTGTTATTAACATGTGTGAAGGATTGCTGTCCTTCATGTTCCTTTTAACCTATTGTTTTCTACAGATGCTTCGGGATCTTGGAGTGCGGACGATGAAACTAATGACAAACAACCCTGCCAAGTATAGTGGTCTCAAGGGATATGGGTTGGAAGTGGCCGGACGTGTCCCTCTTCAAACTTTTGTTACAAAAGAGAACAAGAGATACCTAGAAACCAAACGTGCCAAAATGGGTCATATCTACGACTTTGATTCCAATGGAATTCCAAAGTTAATCAGCAGCAGTAACGGCAAACCTATCTCTGTGACCCCAGCTGAATCCGACTCGTAAGCGATTCAGTTGTTTCCACCGGGAAACCTATGCATCAGATAGAATGCGCCGACCAGGGGAAAAAGGTTGGCAGTATCATCATCACGAGTCCCCTTTAGTGCCTAAATAGTTGATACAGCTGAGATAATATCCTTTTTATAGTCATGACTTGTGACCTGTTTATCTACTTAAATCATTTAAGACTGCAAAGATTTTTTGCTTCTGATTCTTTTTCCAAAAAATGATATAAGAGCTAGGATTGGTGCACCGCCACAAATGTTAGGAAATTGGTTTAGTGTATGGATCTTGTATGGTGTAAATAAGAGAACTTGGCAAAAGAAACTTCCTCTTCCTCACTAGAGAAGTTGTGATTAATTATGATTTCAATGTTCTCAGTTTAGCTCTCTGTTGAATCCATCATACCCTGACTATAACTTTATTGAAAACATTCTAAGAAAGAAAAGCATTGCTTTGTAACAAAACAGAGTAGAAATGTACAAAAGACGGGAATTTGTTACTAGTGATTGACATTTTTGTCAGATTTATCAGCCAACATTGGCTCCATACTTTCCAGTTGTCTATTGAACTCAATCATTTCTTTCTGCTTCAAGCTTATCCATGCTTCAATACCTGTTCCAGTTTTGCCATCAAGCAGAGCAACTCCCTCAAATGGTTTGCTTGCATGACTTACCCAACATGGTTTTCCCATACCAAAATCGACATCATATACTGGAAGCCTACACCAACTAGTACAAATGTAAACATCCACTTCATTACCAGAAAGATGACGTTTCTCGAATATTTCCCTGCGGGAATTGATCAGCATTGTCGAAATGTCATCTGCAGTAGCTAATGCAAGTTGTTCAGCCGTTGACTTTATAGTATCCTGGATCAAGATCATTAACTCCTTCAACTCCATCTTTTCGGCCCTTTTCGCCTCTAGTGGAACTAGGACTGAAATCCAGAAGTTCCCGCAGGAAATCTCTGGCATGGCGAGAGCTGTTTTACCCCTCAAGTTCATTGAAAGGGCGATATCTGAATCTCTGGATCGCCCGTGCTTCGCAAGGGAGACGCCAATGAGAGCCTTCCAAATCGATGCTAATACCACCACAACTCTGGTTGGATGAAAATCAGCCGTCTCTGCCATCTTTGTTACTATTGCTTCATTAAATAAGAATGATTTCGTAATGACCTGATCAGCAGAATTCGCGGCGCCGGGCGGTGGAAACTTGGGGCCAGACAGAATCCTTGTTGGAAAAACTGAAACAAAGTCATTGTAACTCGAAAGCTGAGTGCTAATCACTTGATTCATGTCCTTAAGGTCAGAACTGCAAAGGCTAGCCCATTCCTTGATGAATGTGATCATCGAAAAAGCATCTGCAATAACGTGCGAGACGCGAAGGCCTAACACAAATCCACCACATTCAAACTTGTTAATCTGAATGGCTAACAGTGGGCTTGTAGCAGAGTTAGCCGCAGGGGGGAAATCCCATGGCAAAAATCTACTCAAAACATCTGTATCTGCAGGCTGTTTTTGAATGAAGCCTAGAAGTTGAGCATTCACATTTGCTTCAAAGTACTCAACTCCTTGGTCAGCACAATGAATCAAGAGATCATCTTTAACAAACCGGCCTGCTAGTGGGTAAAACTTGGTTAGGACTTGGGACAATGATTTCTCAAGTAGTAAAGATATTTGGACATTGTTCTTGCCTCTGTTGCAAGAATCTTCAACAGGCAAGTAATAAAAGAGAATGTGGGAATACATTGGAGGAGCCAGCTGATCAAACAGTGAAAGCTTGAAGTTTTGAAGATGATGTGGAGTTGAATTTGAGGGTTTGATGAGCTTACTGCTCAGAATATGGACTTGGAGGTTCTCCATTATTGTTGTTATCTCAAATCAAATCTGTGCGTAGCAGAACTTGAAAGATATTTATTTGTAGGGTGTGGATGAGCGATGATAGCTATAGCGACAAAATAGACTGAATTTGGATAGTAACTAATGAAAAGACATTTACACCACACTCACTATACATGTAATTTACACGGGAAAGATAGGAGTCATAATTACTCTACATCAGTCATTATTTCTTTGTCATTATTTTTTTTCACTACACATATCATTTTTCGTTGTGAATTTTTGACTAATATCTATCTCTCAACTTTAAATTTAAAACTACTAAAAGTAAGAGCTGAAAATGATTTCATTCAATCATCCAATGGGGCCCTATCTCGCAAAGAATGGCATCAGGACATACCATTCATGAGACGCCAAAAGCGAATATTAGTTGAGATGCTAATAACAACAAAATGTCCCCATTTAAGAATATGCATGAGACAATAGAAGCGATATTAGTTGAGATGCTAATAAACCTCCGACCCCTGAATGCGAATATTGATGAATTTTAATTAATTTCCGACCTTAAATGTATAAATCTCGAAAGACAAGATATAAATATGAATAATTATGATTCATTCAGTGTTAAAATTCTGAAAGATTCCTGGACAACTTGGACAGCTTTAATTAAGTCTAATTAAAATAATAATGCCACTAGTCTTGAAAAACTTGGACCCGTCCTTCTTTTCGCATCATTATGGATAAGATATGAAAATAATGGTAAAATAAAGCAAGAGGGGGCAATCTAGTACAGGAATTTCGTTGTTGGCCCTTATAAAGCAAGAGGGGGTAATCAACATTTTGTGTTATATACTTATAAGTTGTATCGCATGAAAGTCTCGAAAACCACTTGAGCTAATAAATTGAATTAATACTACCTTAGCTCTCCTATGAGAACACTTGATAAATTTTTGGAATCAGCACCTGAGAGATGTTCAAAGCCATATTGATCATCTATGAGGTCTATCAGAATGCAAAAAATGTTTGTAGCTTTAGTCAGAGTTATCATATTGATCTATATATAGTTTGAGGACATCTATCTATTATTTGCATTTGAATTCAATTTCCATTATGATTTGAGCTGAGATTAACAACACATGATTCATCAACTGATAGGAATTGCAAACCTACCTAAGTGCTTCTCTTGCGGGTACTGTAAACTCGCCTTCGACATGGTCGAGACTCGAGAAGAGGTCCATTAGCGACATAACTTCCCTATTTTTGCCAATGGACTCCTATATATACACTTATATATAGTAGAGTCATTATTGGTGCATTAATCAAACTTCAAACTTAATCTTGAATTAATTTATTCGTTCGCTGACCACATGAAAATTATTTATACTTGCTTAAACTTACATTAGTATGTCATTTCACTGTGAAATAATAATAATAATAATAATAATAATAATAATCATCTCCCAGGTGAAAAATTTGTGAGCCATCAAATTTGGCTCTAAATATTATTCATATATAATTAATTACAGAAGAATATACAAACAGCAAAGAATAAACTTCAATATGTACGTACTTATATAGCTTATCTATAAGCTTAATTAGTTTGTAGGTACATTTTGTTGGTGAGGTTTCACAATTTCATCAATGACGGGTTCAGCAGTTGTCTCCATCTCATGCAGATCATGCTTCACTTCACAAACCTGTAACTCCAATATTCATTTTGACCATATAGGCACATGTTAGAAATATTTGTTCTAGACCTCAAATATCTATTGATTAGTTCCATGTCATTTTTATACAGCGTCTAGGGTCCATTATCGCCAATAATAATAATGACTAATCTCTTTTGAAAGTAAATGGTCAATGACTGACACGATAATTAATTACCATCATTTTACTAATTGCAAATTAAGTAGAGGGCACATTACTTTGTGGATGAAATCTTCAGCTAATTTGGCCTCCTGAGCAGTCACGCTTGCTATCTCTTCAACGACAAGAACTGCCTGTTTGATTTTGGAGTTGTCCGGAAGCTTTTCCGCCACCTCCGATGTTACATTTTCCGCCACCGTGGCCACATTCTCTGCCACCTCCGCCACAACTTCTGCTTCTTCAACCACCTTTTCCACCTTCCCTGTACATTATTAATAATTAATTGCATCCATTTCTTTTTTCTTTTTAGAAAATTAGATCCGTTTGTAACAGTAAATTCCATGAATTTCGTTTCGTATAATATACGTAGCACACTAACGTACGCACCTTCAATTCCCTTCAGTCGTTCCCACTTTTGCTTCAAGAATGGCAATAATGTCAAGAAAGAGCCCAATAGCCATTTGGCCCTGCGTGCATGGTTGGTTATCAAATCAAACACTTTATATATATATTGCAAATTTTGTTCCGCAAGCAACGTTTTATAACTAATACAAAAAGTAACATCGATCTGATCTGTTTCCTTAATTCCATGGATTTTGTTAAAATTTGGTAAGAACATTTGAAAAAAAAAATCCAAAGGTACTACTACTTATACTAGGCGTCATAATGTAGCTATAAAAGTTACATTGAGATCTGAAGGTAACAAATCAAATATATAATTAATCAAAAACATGAGAAGGGGATTTATATATAAAACGAGTCAAGTAGTTGGAAATCAAAATAGTCCTCTACTTTTTCTTCTTCATTTCAATTTTTTTTTTCTTTTCGCCTTTGGGGTAATTCTACAATGAAAATTTTATACTCAAACTATTTCTAAAAAGGTTTTTCTATCAAAGTTAATTATAAGATCAACGAACATTGGCTAGTGTAGTGTCTCTAAAAATGGATCATCGCATGATTATAGCTTTATATATATTGATAAATTCTTATTCTGTGTTCCAAAAATGGTGATCAATATGTTGTAGCAATAAAGATCAAGTAATTAATGCAAATTGAGGACTATCCTCGCACTTCATGTCCAAAAGTTAATTATTAGATCAAACCAAAACAAGTTCATACCAAGTGGAAAAACTTTGCTTGTCGGAAACCGGTGATGTTGACTGTATTTTCCTCTCTTCATCCTTCACCCTATATAAAAAAACAAGAAAGCCAATTAACCCAAAACATTCCCTCACAATTAATAAAAACCAAGAAACTTTACCCAAAAACAAAGAAGAAAAGAAAACAACGACAAGAAACAAAATGAGAGTCACGACTTTATCACAAATCTCTCTCCTATTATAGGTAGAAAAATTCAACAAACAATTAACTTTGCGTGAACTTGAATTCGTTTATTAAAAAATTGGATCAACTCTAACTTGAGTTGAGCAAAAATTAACTAATAACAAAAACATATTCAACAAATTTACTTTTCCTTTTTTTTTTTTTTTTTAGTTTTTTTACCATGAATATATAGCACGAATACATACATGACACTTTGAGACGGTAGAAATATAATAACGAAAAAAGAGAAATAATAATTACTGGGATTTTCCATCTGCTTCTTTGGGGCTGCCACTGAAGGATCTCGATTGTTGTTGACTCAAGACATTCCGGCCATACCCGAAAAAATTAGTGGAAAAGAAATCCCGGCGGTGGCTAATTTGGTGAGCATTTGAAAGGCCACTAGTAACCGGACCACCACCGGCGGCCGCCGACGGGGAAATTTTGTAACGAAAAAGCAGTGTAACAAGGCCCTGAAGTTTGTAGGGAGAATTTCTTGCAGCTGAAGTTGACATTGTTGTATGATTGCAATAAAGAATTTTGGTTTGTAGATGATTCTGATCAGCTGGAAGCTTATCCTGAAATTGCATGTTTGTGTTAGGTTGGACCTTTTTATGATGAACAATTGGGAGGTTTCTAAAACTAAGCGTATTAAAAGTCATGATCGATCGGTGATGTAAAGAAGATGCCCAACACGCTAAGATTTTGATACTTCTGGAAAATAATTCATCAACACTTGAAGCGAAAATCATCTCTTAAATAAAATTAAAAAAAGAAGAAAAACGTAAAAGTAACTGTTCCTTGCAAGTTAACTTTTAGTTTCTCCTTTATCAGTTATTCTAGGACTTCTAAAATCTAACGCTTTAATGTTGTGTTGTGAAAAACCACGACTCTAAACAGAATTGTACGTTTCATCTATATATTCACAGAAATTACAATAACGGAGTATTTTTTCCATTCCTATTTCATATATAATTTTAATTTGTGTTGTACTCCCTCCGTCCCGTAATTATTGTCTATTTTGAGTTTACATTTTTAGTTCAAATTGTACTAAAAGTGAAATCTCAAACTGGACAATAATTTTGGAAAAGAGGGAGTATCTATCTATAGTATTATATTATACTAAGAGAGAAACCAGATAGAGGAAATCAAACTTCTTCTCAGTTGACGCATTAGACAAAATCCTATGTGTTATTTTTTTATAGGTTAAAATAAAAAATATTTACAACAATTACACTAATAATCCTTTGAATTTTCAGTTAAACAATTATTATTAATTCGCAATTAAAGAATATCATTTAAATATGTGGTAAACTTTCTATTTTGTATTCGGTGCAAAGAGAAAGAAAACGAAATTTTTTTAAAAAAATCAACATTAATGGTTTTTTTTCATTAGGTATTATATAAAAAAGCTAAACATTTATTTGATTTAACAATAAAGCTGATTAATCCGAAAATATTTTTCGCTTGGCTTGAATAATGTCATTACATATTTATTTGATCATTAAATAATATTAATAATTTTTTGAAATTTGAAAATATTTAATGCAAAATCATTAGTGATTCTTTAATTGCGAATTCTATGTGTCATTTTATAAAACCTATTCTAAAAAAACTTAGTAAAATTAGAAATTAGTCCTCAAATTATAAAGTAATTAAAAATAAGAAAATTAAGTCTGTAAACCAAATTTTCGCATTAATTTAAAATTTAAAAAGCTTATTTTCATCCTTAAATTATTCCTAACAAATTGAGGAAATGATTTCCTTATCATATACAATATCTGGTCGTAATTTAAATTATAGAATTCAAATTTAATTCATCCGCTAGAAGTGATATTTTTTGCTTTTAATTATAAATGAAAATCGATCCCTAAAATTACTCTATTTTCCCAACTACACATTCAAAAATAATTAAGATGATTGTATATAACGACCATAAATAACTTAATTATAATTCCTCTCTATCCGACTCCATAAATTACATTATTTAATCAAATTTGAATTTAAAAATATTATTACTTATCACACTTAAGTTTAAAAAAGAAATTTTATCTAAATCAACTCTACCTATATAAAACTCAATCGATTATTGATATTCCACTTGAAATTTTGGCTGCATGCGTGTTCATATGAAGAAGAAAGGTTTTATTCTTTTTTTGTAATTATTTATATCTTAACGTGTTTGGATCATTTTTCTTTTAATTCAATTATACATATGTGTGAAAAAATTTAAAAAACACGTAAGTTGGAGGTGATGATTACAAGGATAAATAAAGGTTTGTCTTTCCATTAAATCAATACATGCATTTCATATCAGTACAATATTATCTTTATATAATATGTATTAATGTGAACTTCGAATATATTTTAACATCTAGTAAACTAATATGAAAGAATTATATGTTCAGTTACGTTCGAAATTAAAAAAAAAAATAGTTCTTGAAGTTTTCCAGAACTGAATGTTTTTTATTTGTTTATTTTTTTTTAATTCCTTCACCAAATTAAATGAGATGTAGTACGTACGACGTGCTACTTCCATCAAGCATTCCCCCCAAGTTGTATGTCCCCAGGTGTCACCTTATTGAAATTATCCGATTCACATTATTTATGCGATTGAGCAAAGAAAAGTGTGATACAACATGGTTACATGATCACAGATCACATGTAATTCATTGTCAGTGACGGATTTAAGGGGTCAGGGTGCTCGATTTGACCAAATTTTTTCTTGGTAGAGTGTTCGTTATTTGAAATTTTTTCAGTTCGACTCTCCGGTGACAGTTGAATAATCTTATTTTCGATTCCGCGATTTGAAAATTCTCGTTCCGTCATTGTTCATTGTACAACATTTTCATTTACTTGTTGATATTAACAAGCTGTAGCTTATATATTCAACTTTATTTATGATTTGAAACTTTAATTAAAAATTTCACACTAATGATGTTATGACTAATTTTAAACTATGTTTGTCAAACTGTACAACTTTTTACAGTCAATAATAACTGGACCACTGCAACAGCTTAGTACTAAAATTTATTGTTTTATTTTTTTATGGTATTTTTAAATTAATATATTAATAAATGTCTCATCCCAACATATCTTTTTATATTTCTAACAATACACTTTTTTTATATTCCCAAAACAAAAAAACACCTAAAAACACGTACTAAAAAAACGAAACAAACATACCCTTAGTTTTTTTTTTTCAAAAGAAAATAGAAAATTCATTAGTTCACAAAAATATATATCTAGCTGTCACAATTTAGGTAGCTAAAAGTGTAACCACTAACAAGAAAATTTATTGTGACAAGAAAGTGTGTGAAAATGATGAAGATCAAATTAAGTTGATTGATCCTTAATTAATTAATTAGCCATCCTTATAATATATGGTCTACGTGGATCAATCACTTTAAAGTGTCACCACAAAACCCAAAAGCACAATCAAAATTTGTCTTTGGAGAAACCCAACAAGGCAGCCACGCATACTAGTGGAAGTCAAGATCCATGACGGGTTGGAGTTGAACCAAAGAGTCAAGCTGCAATATTGCTCAGATAGTCATCTCCAAATATTTTTACCTTTTCCAAGTATAGTAATGGTGATAAAAAATTGGACACAATGAAAAACTACAATTAACTCAAGTAATAAAACAATATAGCATACTTTAACAAAGACACGGAGGAAATTAATTGTACTACTTACGTTCCAAAAAAAATAGTCCATATTGAGTTTTCAATTTGTACTAAAAATAGTGCTAAACTTAAAACTAAATGTGAATTATTTTTATGGAACGGAGGGAGTACTGTATAATTTTGGTTGACCAAGTCTCCTCCTACACCCAATCGATAGCACCTGCAAATAAGCAACTCCGAGATAAGAAGCATAGATTTTAAAGTGTTAAAAAATGACTGGATGAAATTATGAAAGCTACATTGGTCCCTTCATTCAAAAAGATGATCCCGTCCACCAGCTTGGAGATTGAACCCGTCGTTTTATTTACAATAATGGATTGGACAGGGCAACAATTCACTTGATCTTTTCAAACGATCTTCTCTTGATAGGTATCATACGATCAGCTGATGACCCTTTTTTTTAATTATTACTCCCTCCGTCCCATAATTATTGTTCAGTTTTACTAAAATGAAATATTTTATTTTTGGTCAAATTTAACTATATTTTATCTTAAACAACCGGATATATCCCTACATAAGTAATTGTTTAACCTCTAAGATTTTATGGATAATGTTTTTTACTAAGGACAAATTGTAACTTGATCTATAAAAAGTCAAATTGGACAATAATTTTGAGACAAAATTTTTTTGGCAAAGTAGACAATAATTATAGGACGAGAGAGTATTTAAATTAAAAGAATTAAACATTCTGTTTTTTTTTTTGTCTGAAGAATGTAAGAACCAAACTTTAATCGATTGGTTTTCTGGGGTTAGTTCACCAGCTTTTCACCAGTATTGCGTCAGTTGAAAATTTTGGTTGGAGATCAAGACATCCTCATCCACGCAAATGGAATGTTTTCCATCCCCCTCTTCCCCCCTATCAAAATCTAAATTTCAAAGGGGTAAAGATACAGCCACAATTTTTGTATTCTAAATACTATAGTCAACGAATTTTATTTTCAAAATTTCTATACGAGTAGTACTATAGTTATTAATTCAATCTCATAAAAATTCTTCCACTATGTAATTTTCGATAAATGAATTCATTTTATTTTTTCCTAATATGCTTTGATAGTCAAAATCACTGGTACGTACACTAATCCAAATTCTATATTCCCTCCGATCCTTATTATAAGACATTTTGATTTCGTTCTAAGTTTAACCTAGGATGTTTTTTTAATTGGGAAAATATATTTTTACATAGTCGTTGTGTTCTCTTAATTATTATGAAATGTTTTTAAGCTTTTTATTCCAATTAAAAAGACATTCTAGGTTAAACCTAGGACGAAATCAAAATGACTTATAATAAGGACAGGAGGGAGTATATCTCAATTCAAAATTATCAATTAAATGTGTTATTTAAGAAGGAAGAAACAGTAATTCAAGGCATTACTATGTACTCCTGATATTCTCTTCTCCACAGGCGACTCAACTACTTAGATCATGACATCATTCGGGTATATCAATATTCTGACTAAAATATAATATTTCTTTCGTTCCAAACGATTTTTTTTTTTATCTTAATTTGAAAAAATGTAATACAGAAAAAGGAAATAAAAATTCAACTTGTAAGCTGTAGCATTCTTTCGTTGGAAAATCCATGCATCCTCAAACAAAATCCCGTTTGTGGACCTTTATTTCAGTCAGGATGCAGCTACAAGCCCCTATTCAACCCGAAACTCAGAATCTGAAATCTGAACCAAATGAGTAATAGTCAAATGTGCACGAGCAACACCGAATTCCTAAAGTTGTAAAGAAAAGGATTACAGTTCTGGTCCCCTTAATTTTCAGGAATACGACTTTTGACTTTCTCATTTTCAGAGTTGATGTTTCTTTATCCTTCAGCACGTCTTTATCTTGTTTGTCTTTTTTTTTTTTTTTTTTGTCCTTCTGCTATTATTAATTTATACAAATTACTAAAAATTTTGTGTATGCACTCTTTTTTTTTTTTTACTACAAAAATGAATTATCTTTCCACCCCTATTTCAGATAACATACTAACTTGGAAAGTAGTTTTAATTGAGAAAAAAAAAATTTTTCAACAGCCTAACTCAACTAGTCTTTAAATGAACTAATTCAAAATGATTTTTTTGTTTTTCTTGGTCACAAAAAATGATCGTCAATCAACAAGCACACAAATCTGATTATATGAACGGTCATTTTGGGATAAGCATATAACTTACTCTTTACTGTTAGACTATGAAAGGCAGCTGGAGAAATCACTACTGTGAGTTATGGCATTATTATTGTGGGAATTAAAAGAGTACTACAAACCCTTTGAAAAAGGAAATGAATCAAAATTTTCCAAATTTAAAATTAAAACCAAACCATATAAAGCCATGAAAGCTAGTATTTACTCAAAAGTGGTGGAGGTTGGCAACTTGGCATCTTGATGCTCCTCTAGTTTTTCCTTAGTCAGCAGCTCTTCTTCTTCTTCTTCCTCCCAGTTTCCAATTGCTTTCCCTTTTTTTTTTTTCTTTTTTTTTTTTTTTAACTTTTCATCCCAAAATTCCCAACTCCCCTTTTCCCAACCACCAACAACCTCCTCCTTTCTCTTCCCCTAATCCCCTAATTTTCCTCCAAAAAAAATCAGTGTTATGACTTATGATCTGTAATCAGCCATGGGGGCCTTCCAGTTCCAGGATAGGAGATTACTGAACGATTCAATTGTAGTAGATTCAGTTGAAAAACTCTGCAAACCCTTTTGCGATTCTGATGGCTACCCATCAGAGCCCTGTCCTGTTTTATGTATTCCCCGCTGTTCTAACGTTTGTAATCCTCTTAGCTATCTAATCCCTCCGCCGCCGCCGCCGCCTGGTCTCGACAGCCTTTCCGACAATTCCGATCATTCCGGCCGACCTTTGGGGATTTCGGTGTTGCTCTCTGTATCTCTTGCTCTTCTGGCCACTGCTTTCTTCGCTTTTACTTGTTATTCGGTGTACAGGTTTTACAAAGGGAGGAGGGATTCTAGATCGAGGGGTTTGTCTTTATCGTCACAACCACCACCTCCGCCGGCGGCGGCGGCGGCGGAAGAGGAAGCGCGTCTTGAATTTCTCGACGAAGAGCACGGGCCGGTGCTTGACCATCCGATTTGGTATATTAGGACTGTGGGGCTTCAGCCGTCGGTGATCAGTGCCATCACAATCTGTAAGTATAAAAAGGGTGATGGGCTGGTGGAAGGAACCGATTGTTCTGTTTGTTTGACTGAGTTTCAAGACGGTGAGACTTTGAGGCTTTTGCCCAAATGTAATCATGCTTTTCATATCCCTTGTATTGATACTTGGCTTGCTTCTCATACGAATTGCCCCAATTGCCGGGCCGGGATTGTTCTTAGCGGCCGGAGTTTCCGTTCCCCTGTGCCCAGTCTTCAAACTTCAGGCCTTAATTCAGGCCGTTTGGAGGAATACCAAGTGGCTGGTTCAGGGGATTTTGTCAATTCAGAATCTGAGAGGGTTGTTGTGGATAGGGAAAGGGAAAGTGAAAGTGGGATTCTTGAAGTCAGGATTGATGTGCAAAATGAGGAGGAGGATTCAAGGGCTAATTCAATTCCCATTGAGAATGCGGTCGGTGACAATAATAGTGGTTCAAGAGAAGAAGAGGAAGGAATTCAACCTCTGAGAAGATCTGTTTCCCTGGATTCATTGTCAGCCTCTGTGATCAACTCTGCCGTGGCCAATGCATTTTCGGTAGAATCAGAGAGAAACAAAGACAAGGTTTTTACGGAAACGACAAATGGATTATCTATGGAAAGCGCTCCAAAGGGTGCCGGAGATGATCAGGGCGGCAGCTCATCAATGGAGGAACCTCTGAGAAAAGAGACATCTCCAGTGAAGAGGTCACTTTCTTGTAGCGCTAAGGTTTTCTTGTCCCGTTATAGCAAAAAGTAGGAACACCAGTCTTTTCGGCCATGAGGTTGTGGAAAATTGGCTCTAGGCATGAATTTTGAGAACTCTCTCAACAAGGTGAGAGTTTCCAAACTAGCTAAAAGTGCATATAGATTCAGGTTCTGAATAATGGTGATCCCAAAAAGTGGGAGTAGCCAAATGGTAGTGTCAAGTGTCAACACTACTTATCACAGTGTGTAATTATTGCCTGAACAGACACTGGAAATTGTAAGTAACAGTTGTGTATCTGTTCTTAGCGGATTAAAATGTATACTCTTTGTGATATTTGAGGCTTTCATTCAAAAAACTTGCCTTAAGGTGTAATGGCGAATGTTCATTTCCCTGCATCTTGCGGAAATGAAGTATTTTGGATTCTTGATGTGTTAACAGTACAGTACTTATAAGCGATAGAGAGACTATCATTATTTTAGGTTCTCTTAAAGTTTGCCTGTGATAATAAGACAGTTAGTCAGTTCACTGTTAGAGTTGAAAATTGGCCTCTCTGCAGTTTTATGGTGAGGAGATAGGAAAAGCTTTGATCGCAAAAATATATAAGCTGGCAAACGAGATCAGGAAATGGTAAACACTATCATGTATGACGATCTCAGTTGCAGATACAAGATATACATTATGTCAACTTCTTAGATAAGGTGGGAAAAAGGTTGCTCTTTTATTCCAATGAAACGGATTGTGTTCCAATTTTCAAAGCCCATTTTGTTTTGCTTTCGGCATGTTTTGAACACAAACCTCTTTTGCAAACAAATACCACTTTTGCACGATCCACAGAGCATATGTTCTTCCACCATGGTGTTGTTATCTTTAGTACTTTTTGCTGATAGTTCTTCAAGGGGTTCGAATCTAAGTTGGTGCACTTTTTTTAGAGAGACAAATAAAACTATTCTTAAGCACCATATTCTTGTAAATTGACTTTGGGAAGAATGGAATTGTGTTGGATTCCTTCTTTTTCAGATTTCATGGGATATAGTCGGTTGATGATGGTGGGATTGTGAGTTTGTTTACTTTCTTCGTGAACCGTCTAGTCATAATTATCGAGTAGACGAAAAAGTCGACGTAAATAATTTTCTACAAACTGTGTGAGTATGTTTGTGACTTTTACATTCATTCTCTTACATTAGTTACTTGCCATACAATAAACATATAACAAAAATATGATACAAAACAAAATATTTGAGAATTTGTCAGCTTGTTCATCGACTTTTACAAGTCAACACAAAAGTCGATGTGACTAATCTCTCTTAAAAAATCAAGTACTTTTGTGAGTCTTATATTAATATTGGTACCTTAATTAATTGTCACTTATAATACCATAAGAAAAAATGAAAATCATAATAGTTAAAGCATTTTGACTTTCGCTGACTTTCTTTATGAACCTCGTTACAATTTTGGGTAGACAAACAAGTCGATACAAACAATATCTAGGAAGAGAGAGCATTTTATGAATTTTACAATGATCAGCTTACATTAATTAATTACTTAAAACACAAGAAAAACATAACAAAAATATTGGAAATGATAGAAAACCATATATTTTAGAATTCGTTAACTTTTTCGTCAACTTTGTTGATTCGACGAACAGATCGACTCAGATATTTTTTCTTAAAAAACAAGTACTTTTCTTAGTCTTTTGTTAATAAGGATACCTTAATTAATTAAAAATTTTAATACTATAAAAAAATTGTGAAAATTAAATAAGATAATGTATTTTGGCTTTTTTTTTTACTTTCTCTGAACTATCTCATTATAGTTGTTGAGTAGACAGACAAATGGTTCGTCGATTTGCTCATCAACTTTATTAAGTCGACGAAAAAGTCGACGCCATAAATTTGTTTTCCAAAACAAATACTTTCCACTTTCGTGAGTCTTATGTTAATACTGATACATTAATTAATTTCTGATGATAATGCCATCAAAAAAATTGTAACAATCACAAACTTTGCTTGCCAACAAGATTGTTCACAATAGAGTTGAAAATGGTTTGCAGTTTCGTGGTAAAGAAATGTAGTAAAAGAAAGGTTAGATATATAGCAGAGATAGCTTATAAGTTACCAAACGAGATCAGAACTACTTTTATGTATGATGATTCCAGTTGCAGGTACTATATATAACGTTAACGCCAATTTCTTCTTAGGCATAGGCCATTGGATGAAGGCGGGAAAAAAGTTGGCTCTTTGTTCTTTTATTCCAAACGAAACGAATTGCTATGTTTCAGTTTTAAAAGCCCATTTTGGTGTTGATTTCGGCATATTTTAAACAAACCTCTTTTGCAAACATATACTTTAACTACTTTTGTATGATCCATAAAGCATATGCTTTTCCACCATGGTGTTATTATCTTTAGTAAATTTTTTAGTTCTTCCAGGGTTCAGTTTAGACGAATAAAGCTAATCTTAAGCATCATATCTTGTAAAATGGAATCGTCTAGTCAGCTGTGTGACTACACTTTGTCCAGTTTCTTATGAGCACTATCTCGGGCCTACGCCTTCTTTTTTAAGTCCAAAATTCTGGTAAGCAGCCTTCTTTTTATATTTTCCTCTTTCATGCCTACTGAAGTATTGTGGGCCTGAAACTTAGAAACAAAGCCCTGTATTTTATTTCACTGGGAACATCACTTGATCTTGAATTCTTGATCAAGTTGTTGATCATGAATTTCTGTAGAGTGAAAGTGCAGGCCTACATAGATTATTGTTGTTAATGAGAAGCCTACTTAGGTTGTTGTTGCTCCTCCGGGTACATTATCACTAAACACCGCACCTCGTGCGATGCACCTTCGCTAGTATATATAAAAGACATATGTAGTTACTATACAATCACTTAATAAACTATTTAGATAATTGCTTCAAATTTTCCAATGAGCATCTGAGATGCAAAATTAATAATTGAACCCTTATCAAAATGACCAAATTCAAGTTTGGAGTTTTTCCTTATTCAACACAATCCTAAAACTAATTGGAGCAAACCCACTCCAGTTATACGGAATAAATCACAAAAATAGTACTAAACGGGAAACAATGAACCAAGAACAGAGGCTTAAAAAAAGTACATCGATGGTTGGCTCCGGCGTCAAAATTCATTCAGCTCTTCTCTCCCGTTGCTGACGTCTTTAGAAATTAGGAGGAGGTTGTAGAAAGGTTGGGCAGTGGGCACGAAACAGTGGGAGAAAGAGAGATCGAAGGGGTTGAACATATATTTCTTCCATCACCGGCAACCGAAAGGAGGAAGAAAGGAGGAGGAAGGCTGAGAAAGGCTGGAGACAGCTCCAACAAATTGTTTGGAGACACGTACGTAAAATTGACAGGCAACGGCTAAGAAATCGTGCCACAAATGAGGATTCCCGTCTTATATTACTTAGATATATTTTCTACGGATCTCTACTAATTTTAATACCAGAATGTTAACCTTTATATTACAGATTTGGGGTTTTGTAGGTCAACACCGATAGTATTTTAAATTCATGAAAAAGTATATGATGAATTTTAATTAGCTATCCGTTTATAACGGGTATTTTTTATTTTATTAGTTTTGGCAAAAAAAGATTACGGGCCCTTCTTTCTCAATTCCCCTCTAGGTCTACTGAGCGTAAGGAACGGCACGGCACTGTCCAAGTGTATAATGTATAACACGTTTCAATGTTTATTGTTTTCGGGAACTATAAGGTGTTCTAAGTGCAGCGAATAATTTCCTGTTGCGCTTACACGTATTTCTTACATTGAGCACAAGTACGTTTTTTTTTTCCCCAATTCCTTAGGCACCAATATGCATCTTGATAGTTGAATGAAACTTTCACACCAAGAACAAAATTATCATTGAGAATATTGAGGCTGGCAGAGACTTGATCCGTTGATTCTTGGTCTTTTGACCTAACAAAGTTACTGGTGGTCATCTCCTTCCTCAAAATTACATTTCAAATTTCTCATTGTATTTTTCATTTTTCATTTTTAACTTAATTTTTATACAATAAGTTTCTTCCCCGTCTCAAAATGAGGATAATATTTTGTCGATATTTTGGGACAGAAAAAATACAAATAATGCCATCATCCAACGCCAGCCTTCACCCGTCCCCATCCCGTAATCACTGACTTTTTTTGACAGAAACGGACAAGATCACAAGAAAAAGGAAAGGAATGAAAAAGGAAACAGATGTTAATCCGTAAATGTAAGGTCATCGATCATATGGACGGTCAGGAAAAATGGTTAGTTTTTTCAAATGGCATATCAATAATTCAATATGACCATATAACATTTTTGAATGTCGGGCATTTCTCGGTATTTTGTGACCTGTTGTCACCTTATCGAGATGGTAGAATGGAATGGTGTTGTAATCCTTTTCATTTTGTTTGGTTAGATTTTTCCAATAGTAGTAATCAATTAAGTACTCTTAGCAACTTTTTTTTTTTTCATTATAAAATGTCTTTCTATAATATAATAATCCCAAGTCCTAACAACACTTTAAAGTTTAAAAAACTAATTTAAATTATCATCGGAGGAGATTCCAAGAGTATTGGAATCAGAAAGTTAGTTATATGATAATAGATCAAGGCAAACATTTTCTGAATTGATCATGTCATCTTAGTCCGAGTTAACAATTAATAAGGCATTTTGAAGACTTCAAGTCACTCTTCTATTACCACCATTGCTAGAAATTTTCAATTTGATGATACGATTATATGATGCAATGCATGGTTTCCTCCCAAATCCGTGGTCCATACTTCTTTTTACTCCGTAAACGACCAGTCCCTTACTCGGTCGAAAGGTATTTTAACCATTTATTCAGTTGAACTAAATAACTGAATGAATTGTTAAAGTCAGAATGAAAAAAGATATATTTCCTCTGTCTCATAATTATTGTCCAGTTTGGATTTTTATTTTTAGTTTAATTTATGTTAGAAGTAAAAACTCAAACTGGACAATAATGTTGGGACGGAGAGAGTATAATTTTAGTTGGAATCAAGAGGAAACCCTCCAATGAATTTTTGGTGTGTGTTTCTACTTTCTTGACGGGGCAAAGAAACACCAAGAATAATGTATGTAAACCCAATTTAATGCGAAAAGAGACAAAATGGTGAAATGGAGTCCTGTTGAAAGGATAATACCAATGTTTGAAATAGTTGAGCCTCTTCATCGATCGGTTCTGACCTTTTCAGTTATTAGATTAATTGCAGGTAACTAATGCTAGCACCCCCCCCCCCCAAAAAAAAAGGGAAAAAAAATTTACCTCTTATTTATTCGACTCGAATAAAGATCGATCAACGCATTCATTAGGGGTGCTTCAGATCTTCCGGATTATTATTTACTATTGCTATCCCTATCTTTATAGGATTTCTTCATGGTTATTATAGAATTTAACTCAATAGATCTAAACCTAGATCGATTGAAATGTAGTGAAGGCAACAGTTTAAAATTAAATATCATACATACAAGTAATTGTCATATTTTAGTAGATGTATCTTTTTTCTGTCAATTGTTGCTGAGGTTAATACAAAGTCTTTTATTTAAAAAATTATATATACAAAACTATTGATTTTTTCCGAAAAGAAAAATTAAAGAGACAACCGCGTCAAAGGGGCTCAGAAAATAGATTTAAAAGATATGTTGAGAAAATTTTCTAGAGATTAAGAACGTCACATGCAAGGACAACAACTCAGCCACTAAAATTTAGACAAGACTCGCACACGGTAGTTGAAGAACAAGAGAGATAATGACTAAATAAACAAATTAATTAGGCAACTCAAGAAATTAAATCCGAATTAATTCTCTTGTGTTGCTAGATGAGTTTTTTTTTTATATATAATTTGAAAAGAGACACGTATTATCTAGCTGATTGCGAAATATGTACACCTGAATTTTGCAAGTCAACAATATTAATCAACTTTGATTGTTTTTGTTCC